ACAAGAAATGTGGTCTGAAAATGAGTATTTAAGAAGTTATGAATTATTATTCTAATCAAAAAGTTATAAGCAGCACAGGGACACTGTAATTTGACTATTGATGTAATTCTTTATAGACTTAATAGTTTATACAAAGTTAAATCTATTTAACTTTGTATAAACAAACAAAATAAATTTCAAACCCAATTATCGGTGTGTCATAGAGGAGAGAAAGAGGCGACCTCTCTCTATGGGTCGCATAAATCGCATCAATCCTCTATGGATTCCTTCCCCCTCCCTTCCTACCTAATTCATTTGAATTTTATTTTATTGTAAATTTATATATTAAACGCAGCACTATAAATGTAATTTATGGACTGCTTGAAAATCATCAAACTTGAAAATCGCCCTCCCCCCTCCTTTCTTCATAGATGGTCAGGATCCACCAAATCATTAAAATTGAAAAATCAAAGCTCCCCCCTCCCTCATTACTACATGGTCGGTATCTCTTTAGTAGTTTTATTTTCTTATTAATAACAAAAACAGTCCCAGCAAACATCAAGCAGGCGGACCGATAACGGACCGCTGTCAGCACTTTCGTCGTACCGACGTCGGCCGCCCGTTGCGTTGCCGCGTTGGCTTGCACATCGTATTTACATCGGTCCGTTAGCGGAAAACTGAAGGCGGTTCGACAGCGGACCTATGGCGGCAAATCGACAACATTTGAGCAACGGTCCGTCAGCAACTAAACGATGATAAAGCCATTGCGGAATAGCATAGGATCAATAATAAGTTTTGACTAAGATTTGAATGCATTGATATACATATAATTATTTTTATTTTTTTGTTTGAAAAGAACGCACTTATCGTTAGCAAAAATCTTTATATCTTTCAGCTCAAATTTTTACTCATAAAAAAATGCAAATCCTGCCAATGCCTGAAAGACACATCAAATATCTTTTGACTTTGTGCATAGGTATATAGACAAAATACGAATTTATTATACTAAAATTCTCCTACCACCGAAAAACACTACCCCAACTGTAAATCATTAGGTCATACGTGGCAAGGCTTAAGCTTGGTGAACAAAAAGACTAATCAGAAGTTATAATAAAAATCATTTTAAGATTGCAATTTACAATTACAACATGAATATAAAAGTAACAATTTTTTTTTTTAAACTAAAACAAAATATAAAGTATATTTGCATCTATAGATTATTGCTTCACTTGCGTTTAGCGAACGTTTAAAATATAAAATAGTTAATTTTCAACATATCTATAAATTCAGTTTATTCTCATTTCAATCGAAAACTAAATATATTCAGAAAACCATGTGTTGAAAATTGATTTACGTTGCAGTCTGCAGACTTCTAACTTTCACCTAAAAACAGGCAATGATATTTAATGAAAATATTGAAACAGTCAAGTTTAGAGCTATTACAACAAAGATAATAAACTAACCTTCTCAGCCCTTAAAAACGTGTTCGTTTGAAAGTCTGATCACCAGTTATTGACAAATAACTTCAGATACTAAGTGCATCTACATTGAATAAATATAAATTTTATTTCAATGTTTAAGCATAATTTAAAACATAAAAACAAAAAAAATATTGTTTAAATTGAAAAGCTATGGAAATAACTTTAAAAAAAAAGCTATATAAAAATAAAGTCATATTTCGTGCCTTTTTTAAAAAATAAAACTTCATATACAGTAACCTACCTGGTATACCTAATCCTATAAATGTGGGGTATAAATATGCTTGAGGGGTTTTTGAATAATAAAAAAAAATTGTTATTTCATTAAAAAAATTTTCTTTAAATTTAATTTTAATTCAAAAAATAAAATAGTATTTAAAAATGAGATACTTATATGCCAGGTTGGAAGTAAAACCATAAAACCCACAGCAACTTAAGGGCGATGGTGAACCTTTTGCAAAGCATAAGCCTAAGACACAAGTGCACATCTGAAAAAGAAAGAATCAGAGACAGAACACATCAATAAAAATATATTTTGATAAACTAAAATATAGTTTGTAAATTGAACATAGTTTTCACCATACAAAAAAAAACATAGTACAATATAATATACTATAAAAATTTTTTGAAAAATATAAAAAATCAAATAATTGATTGAAATAAAACGGTTTAGTAAATAAGTATATAATTTTTTTCTAATAAATTATTTGTAAGTATATAAAAAGCAAATAAATATGTTTAAAGAAAATATGATTTCAATCCAGTTTGCAAATCAAACATCTATCTTATACCCATGGCAATATTTGGATCATGGTCAACATAATTCTATGAAATATAACTCTGGTTGAGGTAAACGGTTTCCTGTAAAGAAATAATATTAAATCATAAATGTAACATTAAATTACAAGCGTGTTTGAACGGAATTGTTAAAGCAATCCTTTAAAATAATGGCTTGTAAAATAAAAATTTTGTTAGATTTTTATTCATCTGCTTCACTGGTTAAATACCAAGTTAATTTAGCTTTCCATCAATAAATTTATATCTTAAAGCTTATAGTTATATTTAAATTTAATATAATCAAACAAATCAAACAGTAGACAGACTCCAGAACTTATATTTTGGATTTTCTTCAAAAATAACATTAAAATAATATCAAAATAATAAAATTAAATAAATATCAAAATAATAAAATTAATCTTACTTTATTCTCTGGTAAGATTCAATATCAGGATTTAAATTCTCATCTACAATCTCATATACAAAAGGTTACTATAAAAGGGAATAAATATGAAAAACACAGAAACAGTAATACTCGTTGCACGAAAACTATATTCTATTGAGTTTAAAAATTAAAATATTTAAAAATATATAAAATAGTTTTCAATAAAATAAAGATAACAAATTTGTAAATAAAGATGCTTATTTTATTTAACAATATTATTCATCTTCTGAACTAAAAAATGCCTATTTATTTAATGGCATTGGAAAACTTAATGTAGGCACTTTTTTTCCGCCATTGCGGTCTGATGCACCACGCAAAAAACGCACAACCTCATATTGAAAATCTGATTCAGTTGCTGAAGTTGTTGCAGGATTTCTTTTTACAGCTCCTAAAAATTAATTTAAGACTTTTATTTAACTATCTAGCAGGAAAACAAAAAATATATCTTTTAACTTAATTTTAGAAATATGAAGAACTTTGTTTAAAGCTATTTATTAACAAATTTTATTTATCTATTTATTAATTTTTTATTTTTATATAGTTAATAAATAAATTTTATTTATTTATCAACTATTTATTAACAAATAGATTAGTAACTACTAAATTATATATATTATTATTATTATAGTTGTAGCCGTAAATTTACATAGGATGTACACATACAGCGAGCAGGGGAAACACCCCACTATAAACAACCAGTTTTATAAATATTTGTTCCAAACTTTTTCCACAACCAGGAGTCTAGTCTATTTTTGAAAGAAAGTACAGTGGAGTACAAAGTTATTTGCTCTGGTAGTTCGTTCCAGTATTTTGCTGATCTATTATACAAATGATTATATCTTGGATGACAGTTTAGAACATACTCACGCCTTATTTTAGAATGGTGACCACGAGACACGGAGTTAATAAATTTTGGTAGATATTTATCATTAACTATATCAAAACGATGTATTAATTTAAAAATTTGGATTAAATCGCATCGAAGGCGTCGAAACTCAAGTGATGGTAGGTTTAATCTTTTTAGCCTTTTGCAGTATTGAAGATGCCTCAAGCTGTAAGCCCATTTTGTAGCTTTGCGTTGAACAGATTCAACCAAAGCCATATCAGCTTTTAAAAAAGAAGCCCAAATGGACACTCCATATTCAAGATGTGGTCTTATAAATACTTTATATAATTTGAGAGCCATTTTTTCATCAATGAAAGTGAATGTCTTTTTCAGCATACCGAGAATTTGTAAGGACTTAGAGACAACTGTTTGAATATGAGCGCTCCACTTGAGGTTAGATGTAAAAATGACTCCTAAATCACGTTCTTTAGTAGAGCTTCTTAGAGATTGGTTGATTCCTTGGTTATTTTGAAGAAAGTAATTGTAATGGGGGTTGTTTCGACCGTAATGAATGACGCAGCATTTTGAAGTGTTTAGCTTAAGTAACCAAGTGTTTGACCACTCGTATACCAAGCGTAGACGATCCTGCAGATCAACAAAATTAGATTGCGATAAGGTTTTAGAAAAAAGTTTAGTATCATCGGCAAATATCTCAGAAGTTTCAGTGAGTTTTGCGAGATCATTTGTGTTGAGAATGAAGAGGAGCGGGCCGAGAACAGAACCTTGAGGAACACCACTGAGAACATCAACCCATGCAGAGCTGGTATTGTTAATTGTAACGCGTTGCTTTCTGCCCACTAAAAAAGATTTAATCCATTGTAGGAGTTTGCCGTTTATTCCGAAAGATCTTAATTTTAACAAAAGTCTGTTGTGAGGTACAGAGTCAAACGCTTTGGCAAAGTCAAGATAGATTACATCAATAAATTGGTGAGATGCTATGGAGGACGAAATGATATCAAAAGTTTCTATTAGGTTAGTTACGCATGATTTATGATAAAGGAAGCCATGTTGATTTGCAGAGAGCATTTTATTATCGTTAACGTGCTTTGAAATTTTTTTCTTTACAAGTTTTTCAAAGATTTTACAGGCAACAGATGTTAGTGAAATAGGTCTATAGTTTTCAGCAAGTAATTTATCTCCCTTTTTTTTATAGATCGGACTAATATTTGCTAATTTCCATTGAGTGGGTACTACTCCAGAATTAAAGGATTTATAAAAGATTTTTGTTTATGGAATTGCAAAGCTTTTGGCACATATCTTGAGTATTAAGGGATGCAAGCCGTCAGATCCGAAGGATTTATAAGGCTTTAGATCGGCAAGTTCCTGAATAATATCTGAGATAGAGAAATCCAAGTTTTCATTATAAATGCATTCAGAAAGAATACCACTTTTATTTAGCAAAGGAAAATTTTCAGAGCTTTCAAGTGTAAACATAGATTTAAATTGAGAGTTCAGAAGATCAACTATATCAGGAAGAGCTTCAAAAATTCTGCCTGAAGTATCTTTGAGAGAGCGAATTCTATCTTTAATTTTTAGTTGTTTGTTGATATATTTGTAAACGATTTTTAGGTTGTTTTTGGGATTTTGATATTATTTCTTTTTCATGTGCTTTTTTTGCTTTAAATATTTCAGTTTTTACTGAACGATTAAGGCGATTGTATTTTATTTTAAGCTCACTATTCTCCCATTTGGTAGAGCAGTTTATATGCCAAGCGGATTTTTTTTCACGGATCAGGTTTTTAATATGTGGGGTAACCCAAGGATCATACTTTTTTTTTGTTTTATTAATCTTGGGAATAAAGTATGTGCAAGCAGTGCGATAGTTAGAAATTAGTATATTGAACATTTGATCTGCAGTTTTATGCAGGAATAAAAACTCCCAGTCGATTGATGCAATAAAGTTAGATATTGAATCGTAATCACCTTTTTTGTAATTAAACGATTGAGATTCACTTTCGGTAAACAGTTCTGAAACTAAGAATCTCCAAGTGATACTAAAATGACCCTTAGTGGTGTTACCTAGTATAGTACTAGGAGACAAGTTTAAAATAGAATTACTGTTGTAGGTAAATAACAAGTCCAACATATTATTTGAGGAACCATAATCAGTCTGGAAAGTAGGAAATGTGATATGTTGAGTAAAAAGGCTGTTTTGGAAAATATTCCAGAAATCATACTCGGTAGGATTGTTTGGGTTAAAAGATTCAATACCATCGTTAGACCACTTTATATTCGGGAAGTTAAAGTCACCGACAATCAAACAGTCATCATAGGGCTTTTTAATTAAACTATGAGCTAATTTGAAGGATTCAGCGACATATTTTATTAAACTGGCATCATTTGGTCTGTATATACAACCGATAAGTATATGTTTGTTGTTAAATTTTACAGATACCCAGACTTGTTCGAGAAGATTTGTATAAAATTGGTTAACTTCATGATAGTTAAATACGTCTGTAATGTAGATAGCTACACCGCCACCTCGACGTCCGTCTTGACGATCTTTACGATATAGGTTATACCCATCGATATTAGGTACTGAGTCATTTCGAAACCATGTTTCAGAGATAGCAATAACGTGATAATCAAACGTTCTAGATATTGAAATTAAATCGGCCATTTTATTATCGAGAGATGTAGCATTAGTATAATAACAATTAACGCTATAGTTTGTTTTTTTGTTATGAAGATTTTTACTTTTGTATTTTAAGTTTTCTGGTAAAAGAGTGGAAGAAGGGTAGTAATGTTTATGTAGTGGTTTGTATATTTTTGAGTTTGACGACTCCGCTGCTTCGTATACCGTATCTAAAGGGCGATGTTTTTAAATTGATATTACTATTTAATTCATTACGCTTCATTCTTAACTGATAGTTTAAATATCTTTCAGCCTCAGTCAAATCTGGGCTTATAAAAATATTTTTATAATTATTTGAATTTTTCAATTTTTTTTGCTGCTGTTAATAACGGGTTTCTTTCGGAGACATCAGAAAGTTCGACGATAATTGGTCCTGGTTTAGAGGACGTAGATTTAATACGTTTGACAGATTTTGGTTTTGCATCAGATGAAATAGTAACTAAGATATTCTGAACCGTTTCCTTATCGTCGATATGCTTATCAGCAACTGATAACTTTGCAGATTCTTTAATGCCATAAATAATAACATTTTTTTCACGCTTCTTTTTTTGCTGTTGCTCAATGGCAAATGTGTTGATAATTTTTAGTTGTTCAATAGGCTGCTTTTTTTTTATGTTTTTGCTTGCAACTGTAACCCAGCTGGATTCGATACTACCGGTTGTGGTATTAGTTAGCTCATTAGGATTTTGGATTAGCTTATCTATTATTAATTGTTGTTGCTTTATTACTTGTTCTAGTTCAGATATTTTGGCCGACCATTTCGCAGTTTCAGCATGAATAAGTTTTTTAATTGCGTCCTCGACTTGCTTTAATTGAGCTGGTGTTAAATTAGTCATCACAGATAAAATTTTTTTTTTTTTTTTATGTCAGTGATGTTTTTATGTTTATTTATTTGTTACAATTATTACAAATTTATTTGTATACAATTATATGTATTTATATATAACAACAGTTTTTCCGTATATATAATTATGTATATTATTAACGTTTGTCACAATCACACGCACAAATTATTTTTATGTTCAAAAATTAATCCGAAAACAACAAACAGATTAAGAATCAGGTGCAACGCAACTATAAAAAAAAAAACTACGAAGAAAGTTGAAAAACTTTTAAAATAAAATAAAAATGAAATAATTTAAATAGGTTTTCAAAAAACAAGTTTAAAAACTTGTTACTTAAATAATATAAGCGCAAATCAAATCTTCGAATAATAAAGGTTTATTTATAATATAGTTGTATATTTATATATAAATATAGATACGAGCAATAAAAATAAAATAAAAATAAAAACACTATA